AAATAAATTTAAAAATATGCCATCTCCATTAATTCAAAAAATAATATTTTAAAAATGTTCAAACCACCCAATGCCATCTCTATAGATTGAATGTAATGCCTATCAAAATCCCAATGGCATTTTTATGTGAATAGAAAAAGCAATTCTAAAAATATGGAACCACAAAGTACCCAAAATAGCCAAAGCAATTTTGAGAAAGAAGAAATGTAGAAGCATTATAATTCCTGATTTAAAACTATACTACAAAGCTATAATAATAGTATGTTATTAACATTTAAATGGACACATAAATCAATGGAATATAGAGCCTAGAAATCAATCCCTGCATGTATGTTTAATTAATTTTTAACAAACTGATCAAAACTACACAGTGGGAAAAAGATTCTCTATTCACGACAAAGGACTGGAAAAGTTGGATAATCACAAGCAAAAGAATGAAATGGAACCCTTATCATATACCATACACAAAAAACTCAAAATAGATTAAAGATTTGAACGTAAGACCTGAAACCATAAACCTCCTAGAAAAAAAAAATAAGGGGTGAGTTTCTTGACATTGGCAACAAAAACAAAAATGTACAAGTGAAACTACATCAAATTAAGCTTCTGCCCAGAAAAAGAAACCATCAACAAAATGAAAAGGCAATCTATGGAATGGGAAAAAAAGTATTTGCAAGGCACATATCTGATAATGAGTAAATATTCAAAATATACAAGGAATTCATACAACTTTATAGCAAAACAAATAAACAAATCATTGATCTAACATCACTAATCACATGGGAAATGCAACTCATAACCTAAATGAGATATCAACTCACACACGTTAAGATGTCTATTATCAAAAGACAAACAAAAGCAGGCATTAGAGAGAATGTGGAGAACTGGGAACCATTGCACGCTGTCAGTGGAAATGTAAACTGGTACATCCGTTATGAAAATAGTACTAAGATTCCTCAATCTTAGTACTTAGTACTAAGTACTAAGAAAATAGTACTAAGATTTAATTCCTCAAGAAATTAAAAATGGAGCTACCATATGATTTAGCAATCTCATCTAATTCCAAATGAAGTGAAGTTATTATCTAAAAGAGATATCTGCACTTTCTTGTTCATTGCAGTATTATAATAGCCAAGGTATGAAAACAACCTAATTGTTTATCAATAGATGGATGGATAAAGAAAATGCAGCATACATATACACAATGGTATAATGTTCAGTCATAATAATAATAACTTTTAAAAGGAAATCTTGCCATTGGTGACAACATGGATGGAACTTCAGTACACTATGCTAAATGAAATAAGTCAAATAAGAAAGACAAATATTAAATGATATCATTTTTGTGTGGAATCTACAAACTCAAAAACAAAGAGTAGAATGGTATTTCCTAGGAGTTAAGGGGTAGAAGAAATGGGAGATTTTGGTTAAAGGAAACAACTTCCAGCTAAGAGTAAATTCTGGGCATCTGATGTGGCAAACGGGGAGTATATATTATACAAGGTCTGTCCAGTAAAAGTCCAGCCATTGTTAATATAATGAGGACAGTTTTCACAACATCGCTGTAACCTGGCAGCCAAGGAGTGTGGACTGGAACACACATGCATTAACAATGACTTCACTGTACAAGTCAGTGGGGGCAGTACATGCAGTTGATTGAACATATATACTGTGTGACCATCGCATTCAAAATGACTGAGTAGAGCAAAGAATCTGCATCAAATTTTGCAGCAAGTTTGAACATTCCTCTGCAGAAACTATTCCAGATGATTCTGAAGTATTTCAGGGATGATGCAATGAGTGCAGTGCAAATAAAAGTGTGACACAAATGCTTCAAAGATGGTTGAGAATCTGTTGAAAGTAACCCATGTCCTGGAAGGCCTGCAGAAAGCAGAACACCTGAGAATATTGAACGTGTGTACAGGCTGCAATCAACAAAGATCAGAGACTATTAGTTCTAGAACTAGAAGCTTATCTGAGGATTCTAAAAACTACTGTGTCCAAGATTTTGACCCAGGATATTGGCATGAAATGTGTCATGGCAAAATTCATTCCATGCCTTCTGCTTCCAGAACAGAAGGAACATGATGCTACAGTTACTAATGACTTGATTCAATCTGCTACCAGCTAACCAGATTTCCTCAAGAAGGTCATAACCTGAAATGAATCGTGGGTCTATGGCTACAATCTGGAAACGAAGGTCCAGTCATCCCAGTGGAAGTCACCTGATTCTCCACACCCAAAGAAGGCACAGCAAAGTTGCAGCAAGATCCAGACCATATTAACTGTGTTTTGATTGGGAAGGTGTCGTTCATCATAAGTATGCCCCTCCAGGGTAAACGATTAATAAGGAATACTACCTCAGTGTTCTTCACTGGTTGAGAGATGCAATATGATGAAAATGGCCATAGCTATGGGCAACTGGTAATTGACAACTTCATTACAACACACCCACTCATGCATCATGTTTCATGCAGAGTTTTTTGGCAAAGCATCAAATCACCCAGGTAATTCAGCCCCACTACAGCCAAGATTTGGTGCCCTATGACTTCTGGCTTTTCCCAAAACTAAAATCACCTTTGAAAGGGAAAAGATTTCAAACCATCGATGAGATTCAAGAAAATACTCGTACGATGGGGCAGCTGATGGTGATTCCAACAAAGAATTTTGCAGAAAGATGGAACTGGAGAGCATTATGCTAAGTGAAATAAGCTAGGTGGTGAAAGACAAATATCATGTGATCTCACCTATAAGTGGAACCTAATCAACAAAGCAAACAAGCAAGCAAAATATAAACAGAGACATTGAAAAAAAAAAAACCAAACTGAGAGTAACCAGAGGGGAGAGGGATAATGGGGGAAAATAGAGGAAGGGTCATCAAGGAACATGTATAAAGGACACATAGACAAAGCTAAAGGAGGAGGTTTGAGGGTAGGAGGTGGGGAGGGTAGGAGGTGGGGAGTTGTGGGGGGAAAATGGAGACAACTGTACTTGGACAGCAACAACAACAAAAAAGAATTTGGCAGAGTGTTTTGAACAGTGGAAGAGGTGCTGGGAGAACTGTGTGAGGTCTCAAGGTGCCTACTTTGAAGGGGAGTAAGGTGTCATTGCCCTATGTACTATGTTTCTTGTATCTTCTTCAATAAATAACTCTATTTTTCATATTACATGGCTGGATACTTTCCGTATTATATACTTGAAAGTTGATAAGAGAGTAGACCTTAAATTATCTCACCAACTCAAAAATATTGTAATTATCTGAGGTGATGGATATATTAACTTCATTGAGGCAAATATTTCACAAAGTTATATGTATCAAATCATCACACTGTATACATTAAACTTAGTGTTATAAGTGAATTATATCTCAATAAAGCTGGAGGGAAAAAGAAAATCCAAAATAATTTGTTAAAACAACAGAAGAGAAGCCACAATAGAATATATAAAATTTTTTAAAAACTTCAAATTTAGAAAAAATATTTTTAATTGGATTTTAAGTATCTCAGAAAACAAAATAGACACTCTTGAAAACAGCAAAACAGCAACCCTCATTCAAGTCTAGAATAATGTTTCTCAATCTCAAATCTGGTCACACATTTTTTAAAAAAACAACATGTATTCAACCCTCCATATTTATGGCTTCCTCATCTGTGAATTTAACTAACTGCAATCAAAAACAGTATTTTCAATCTGTAATTGGGAATTCATAGATATGGAGGACCAGCTATATACTTTGTTCTATACCATTTTACATATAGGACTTGAGCATTCTCAGATTTTGGTATCTGTGGAGGGTCCTGGAACCAATTCTCCATGTATGTCATGTGATGACTGTGCTTACAAAAACTGCGAGAAAAATTTAACAACACAATGTGAGAAAAACTTAAAAACTATAATGCATCAAAGATTAACAAGGTTTAGAATCATCAACCTAGAGATTTCACTAGACAAAGGAATACACTTATCAAATTAAAATGTTTATGAGAATCATCTCATCATTTCAGAACATTGCAGCTAGAACATTGTAGTTAGACAAAATATTTTCCCAAAACTTCCCATAATCATAGAAATCAAAATACCCTTTAACAGACAATAATCTATAATTATTCTTTAAAACTGTCAATAGCTTATACTATAGTAATTCAACTTTATTCTAAGTTTCTTTGTCACAAGTTCAGAGTGCAAATATATAAGCCAAGCTTTGAAAGAACTCATCACATTGGAACTTGAAATGAAATTACAACTAAATGGGAATATGCTCTCAAGGCAATCTAAGTATATTTTTCTTTATGTTTACATATCTTTTAAAATATTCATCCATGGTTATCTTTAATGAAATGAAGATTTTTACAAAGAAAATAGGTTCCCTATACAGACATTGAAAAGTAAAATATGCAAGAAGATGGGGTGAATACAGGATAGAAATGTTGGCTCAGAAGGAATAAAATGAAAAGAGAAAAAGAGATATGAAGAATTTACTAAGGAGAAAGAAAACAGCACATAACTTTAGATGTGTGACTTAAACTCAAGGAACTTAAAGTAGATAAGAGAACTGAAGAAAATGCCTTTTTCACTATAAGCCACATATAGAGAAAAGAAAATATGGCTGTATATTTTATCCTTGTCAAAAGAGTTTAGTGTAAAAAGGATATTTTAAGTAATTATTTCAATCATAAACTTATTTCATTTAAAAATATGTATTTTATACACTCTAGATTGAATGAAAATAACAAGTAATTTTAAACTACTCATTTTTATTGTTCATTTTCCAACCTGCAGTTCACATCTTGGGGTTTTCTTTCATTTCCTTATTCACAAAGCTACTTCCAAATGACTACCCTTTTGCATAGTATGTTCTTCCAGAACCCCCTAGCTTCTAATAGTCAGCTTAGTTAAGACCTCCCTACAGCTGTGGAAGAGACCCCTATTTTAGTTCTATATGAATGTCACCCTCCATTTCAACAGGAGAAACCAGTTATTCCTCTATATTAGACAACTCTTCAGGAATATTCCTGTGCTAAAGGCTCTCCAGATTTTGGCTCATTTTTTAAAGTTGTTGATTCTGATTTTACCACTGGGACATCTATTATTTTGGAAGATTGATTTTTAGTAGACATAGTCTCTACCAGACCCTCATCTGCAGGGGTTTGTTCAGACAGTGGAGGCTGAACAACATCAGGGGAGCCTTTTATAGAGATGTGTGTAACAGAGGCTACTTCAGATGATGGAGGCTGTTTGTCCGCAGGGACCATTTCTAAAGTAGCTTCTTCATTTTCTAGAAGCTGAAGTTCAGCAGGAGTCTCTTCTGCGGAAGCCTCCTCATCTGGCATAGGCTGGGCTTCAGCTGGGGCCTCCTCTGCGGGGAGCCCCTCAGCGGGCGGCGACTGAGCTTCAGCTGCGGCCTCCTCTGCGGGGAGCCCCTCAGCGGGCGGCGACTGTGCTTCAGCTGGGGCCTCCTCTGCGGGGAGCCCCTCAGCAAGCGGAGACGGAGCTTCAGCTGGGGCCTCCTCTGCGGGGAGCCCCTCAGCGGGCGGCGACTGTGCTTCAGCTGGGGCCTCCTCTGCGGGGAGCCCCTCAGCGGGCGGCGACTGTGCTTCAGCTGGGGCCTCCTCTGCGGGGAGCCCCTCAGCGGGCGGCGACTGAGCTTCAGCTGCAGCGTCCTCTGCGGGGAGCCCCTCAGCGGGCGGCGACTGTGCTTCAGCTGCGGCCTCCTCTGCGGGGAGCCCCTCAGCGGGCGGAGACTGTGCTTCAGCTGGGGCCTCCTCTGCGGGGAGCCCCTCAGCGGGCAGGGACTGAGCTTCAGCTGGGGCCTCCTCTGCGGGGAGCCCCTCAGCAAGCGGAGACTGAGCTTCAGCTGGGGCCTCCTCTGCGGGGAGCCCCTCAGCAAGCGGAGACTGAGCTTCAGCTGGGACTTCTGCAGGGAACTCCTCAGATGGTGGAGACTGATCTTCCACAGGGAACTCCTCAGTTCTTAGAGATTGAACTTTGAAAGGGGCATCTCCTGCAGTGATCTTCTCAGTAGGAGTCTCTTCAGCTGATGGAAGTGGAAGTTCAGCTGGGATCCATTCTGCTGGGGCCTCCATAGGTGGCAGAGGTGGAAATTCTGTGGCCTCTTGTGTAGGAGCCTCTGCTGTTGATGGAGGATAAATGTAAGCAGAAGGCTCTTCTGAAAGAGCCTCTTCAGCTGGGGTAGGTTCTACTTTACCTGGGACCTCTCCTACAGGGATCTCCTCAGCTGGTGGAGACCGAACACCAGTGGAGGCCTCTTCTTGAGGGGCCTCCTCAGCTGGTAGAGACTGAACTTCAGCAGGGACTTTCTCTGTAAGAGTTTCTTCAGCTTGGGAAGGCTGTATTTCAACAGGAGCCTCTTCAGCTATTGGAGGCTGAATTTCAGAGGGAAGCACTTCTAAAGGAGACTCTTCAGCAAGGATAGGCTCTACTTTATCAGGGGCCTCATCTGCAGGAGCCACCTCAGCTGGTGGAGGTTGACGTTCATCAGGGGCCTCTTCTGCAGTAGTCTTCTCAGCTGGTGGAGACTGCACTTCAGGAGGGGTCTTTTCTACACTAGGTGGCTCTACTTCAGCAGGAAAATCATACTCATATGAAAGTACTGAAGTACCTTTCTTCATTTGTTGACTAAATGAAGACCTGTTGTTACTTTTCTGCCAAATCTCTTCCTTTCTACTTGTTGCAGGTTGTTCAGTAATGAAAATATTCCCTGTGGATTTATGTTTCTGCACACCCTCCTCTGACTTTGAAAAAGAACTGCTTGGCTTGCCAGTAACCACTATTTCAGATTCACCAAAGTACCTCTCCTGTTCTTTGTCTGCTTTTTCCATTTGAGGAATGTTCATCATTGTCCTGTCTCCGGTACAACTGGTCTGCTCAGGTCTGTCTGTTTTGAGTTGACCTGAGTGTTTGCTTGGTGGAATTTCAACTTCATGAACAGTCTCTAGAAATTCAGGAGCTGCTTCTCCAACAGCAGCTGGCTTTTCTTCAAGTACTACTGTTGCAGCAACTGACTTTATATCTTTTTTCTCTTCTCCATTAGTGTCTGTCTGCAGAGATTTATCAGTCATATCTTGCACACGCTTTCTCTTTGTCCAAGTTTGCTGAAGCTGAGAGGATACTCTAAGAGACTCATAGTTGGCTTTGCTTACAGGAATATTACTAATTCCAAGGGTAGCTTTGGGGTCACATGATTGTGGTATGGACAGGTGTTTCTTTTTCTCTGTCACTTCAGTCTGTTGTGATTTGTCTACCATTGGTTGGCTGGGTTTTCTTCTCTTTCGAATTTCTTGCCTCCCTGCTGAAATAGGCTCATCATGTTCGTCACTCTCTTCCATATATAAAACTGGTAAATTTCAAATTTATTAATCATCAATAATCACAATGTACCAGATGGTTAAACCTTTACCCTCCTTCAATAAGTGTTCCTTTGTTGAGCTCTCTCAGAAAAAAAGTAATCCACATATTGTCGCATTCTGTATTATACTCTTGTTGGACCCCACCCTACTCAGTAAGCATCTTTTTTGTTTAGTCTCTAGGATGACTAAATCCCACTTCTAGAAGTTTCCCTCAAGGGTCTATGACATCACAGGCAATTCTCACTACAATGTTCCATCTGTGGTATTCCCAACAATTTTTAACTTGGTAAACACTCTTGGAAAATGGCTACAAGTGAGAGAATTACCATTTGAAACATCAAATTGAAAAATAATTTATTAGAGGAAAATCAAGTAAACTCCGGTAATGCTGCTTTCTAATAGCTAATCAATGCTTTTGAACTTTCAATTTCTGTTCTTTTCATCCTACTATCAAAGACAGTTATATTGCAGAACTCAGAATGGTGCAGCCTGTTTTCAATTGTTAGAGAAAGCAACTGCTAACATATATATGACAGTATTCTATTAATGTATTTTTATGTGATTTGAAAGAAAGTTAATATTTTTTGAAAACTTTGAGTTCTGAGGTCCATATCTATGTAAACTCCTTTCTTATATTCTTAGCACTCGGAACTAAAAGAGACTAATGGACATAGAGTATGCCATGCTAGATATTTTTATTTTCAACTATTTCAGAACACAGTTCTACCTAAAGTTTGCTAAGTAAGTAAAGTTGAGTCTAAAGAGATATCAAGTGAAATAAAATTAATTTATTTGATGTAATTACTACATATTCTGCTTAACAGTCACATAGGAATGACTCCCCCAATGAAAAAATAAATTTAATTGAACTTCTGAAAAACAGGAACCCCATTTAGCAAAGTGTAAATAGCACTATATTCTATATGGAATACAAATAAAACTTTAATTTCTATGCAACACAAAAAATTTACTAGAAAGATGAAGATTGGTCAAAAGATGTGCAAAAACATATTCCTGTAGTCTAGGAAAGTTAAAGAGGAAAAGATGGACTTTAAAATATAGTAGAATCGCAAGAGAAAAAGTAATAATCTAAACAATCATTATGACTTCATTAACCTGGAATATTTTTATTTTTTTAATTTTTTAATTTTTAATCACGTTTTTTCTCTTACAGTTGTCTCAATTTTTCTCCCTTTGTCCTCCTCCACCCATCCCAATCCGCACCCCCACTCGCACAGCCAATTCCCACTCTGTTGTCCATGTCTATGGGTCATTCATACATGTTCTTTGTCTAGTCCCTTCCCCTTCATTCCAACACTGTCCTCCTTCCCCATCCTCTCTGGTCACTTCCAGTCTGCTCTGTGTTTCCATGCCTGTAGTTTATTTTATTCGTTAATTTATTTCATTGAATAGATTCCACTTTTAGGTGAGATCATATGCTATTTGTCTTTCACTGACTGTCTTATTCTACTTACCATAGTATTCTCCATTTCCATCCATGTTGTCACAGAAAGTAGGAGTTCCTTCTTTCTTTTTTTATGCAGATTGATTTTATTATTTTTTAAATGTCAAAATCCATTATGAAATATTGAAAATTTAAATCCATTATAAAGTCTCAACAATTAAAACATGACACCAACACAGAAATAATCAAGTAGGTCAATGAAATAAAATGATCACTCTAGAAACAAATGTATATATCTGTCTAACAATGTAATATATGATTCAATTGGTATTTCAAATCAATGGGGAAAATAAGGCTTATTCAACAAATAAGGTGCACGGACCACTATTACTTGAAATAAAACAAATATAGAGCCTATTTCATACATTATACAAAAAATATTCAAGTGAGTTAAAAATCAAATCAACATGTAAAATCTAAGGACTTTCAGCAGAAAATTCAAAATAATATTTTTCTAACCCTGGAGTAACATATTCAAACCCAGAAGCTATAAAGTAAAATATTGACAATATGACTATATTAAACTTTTAAGACTGTACAGTAATATACATATGAAAAAATTAAAGAACAAAGAATAGGAAAGTATTTGCAACACATCTAAAAAGGGTTAATAGTCTTTGGGGTTTTTTTAGGGGTAAAATTCTACAAACCTTTAATCAAAAAATAGATAAAGAATACCAAAAAGTCATTTAAAGCTTTTTAAAAATAATAGAAATAGGCAAGAAATATACAAAAACAAGTTCAGTTTCAACAATTAATAAAGTCACTTAAAATAACATCATTGTCACAGTCAGATTAATAAGCATTAAAAATATTGGTAATATCAAGTATTGGTGACTGCAAAAGGATATTAATAGGGTATTCATAGACTCTTTTCCTTCATCTTCTTAAAGCAGTCCCTTTAGCATGTTTTGAAATGCTGGTTTGGTGGAGGTGTATTCTTTTAGCTTTTTTTTGTCAGGGAAACTCCTTATTTTGCCTTCCATTTTAATGAGAGCTTTGCTAGGTAGAGCAGTCTTGGTTGCAGGCCTTTGCTTTTCATGACTTGGAATATTTTTTGCCATTCCCTTCTGGCTTGTAGTGTTTCTGAGGAGAAGTCAGCTGCTAACGGTACCGGGGCTCCCTTATATGTTACTTCCTCTTTCTCCCTTGCTTCCTTTAGTGTTCTCTCTTTGTCTTTGATATTTGCTATTTTAATGATGATGTATCTTGGAGTGGGCCTCATTGGGTTCTTCTTGAATGGGACCTTCTGTGCTTCTGGGACTTGTATGACTTTTTCCTCTCCTCCAATTAGGGAAGTTTTCCCCCATTACTTTTTCAAACAGGTTCTCTATCTCTTGCTTCTCTTTTTCTCCTGGTATCCCTATTACATGGATATTATTATGTTTCAGGTTATCCTGCATTTCCCTCAACACCTCTTCTTTCTTTTTGAGTCTTTTTTCATGTTCTTGCTCTTTCTGGGAGCTTTTTCCTACCTTATCCTCCAGCTCCCTGATTCGTGCCTCTGCTTCATGCAGCCTGCTTTGGATTCCTTCTACTGTGTTCTTCAATTCAGAAATTGTATTCTCCATTTCCTCTTGTCTCTTATTGATAGTTTCTATGTCCTTTTTCATGCTGATATAGTTTGCAGTAAGTTCCTCGTAGTTTCCCTGCAGGTTTTTGTAATTCTCCCTGAGCTCAGTGAGCTCATTGAGCTATTCTATTGAGCTTAGAACTGTTGTTTTGAACCCAATATCTGATAGTTGACTTGCCTCTATTTCATTCAGTTCTCTTTCTGGGGATTCCTCCTTTCCTTTAGATTGGGGGGTGTTTCTTTGTCTTCCCATTATTTGTGGGACTCTCCTTTTTTGCTTCTACTTCTTAAGTTGATCTGTCTAGATTTCCTATCTTTGTGGCGTGAACTTCTTGGTAGGAGCCTGCTGTTTTTTCTTTCTGGATCCGCCTCTGATAATGTCAGATGTTGTTCCTGTCTGACCTTAGGTAGTCTGTTTGAGACTTCCAAGAATCTGTTGTCTGTGGCTGTCTCCTTCAGCTGTTAATAGACCCCAGCAGAGTACCTCCTGGAGGCTCTTGTGTCCTCTCAGGCTACTGCCACTCATGGGAGTGGTCTGCCTGAGCCAGATGGCTCCTGCCATATGGGGGAGGAGTCAGCATGGGATCCCGCCTGCTACTCTCTTTGTCTCTCCTCCAATGCCTCTAGACCACTCTGTGCCCCCTTTAGTCAGGGATCTACTCTCCGTGGCTGCCACTCAGTACTCAGCTCAGGCTTTTAGTACCACTGGGCCAGGGCAGAGTCCCTCCTGGGGTCAGGGCTATTGTGTCTTCTCACTATTGCCACTCAGGGGAGTCCTCTGCCTGAGCAAGATGTCTGGGGGATGAGTCAGCACCAGGATCCCGCCAGCCACTCTCTCAGTTCTCTCCCCAAAGCCTCCTTCCCCAGTCTCACCTCAGGTGTCTCTAGCCCACTCTGCACCCACCTTTGCTGGAGACCAGGGTAAGTAGGTGCAAATAAAAATGTATGCAATGGCCCTTTAAAAGGCTCTTTGTGTCTCCAGCCGCCTGCTTCTGGCAGAGAGTAACTGTGCCGCTTTTTGCAGCTGGCTGTTATCTGTGTACTTTTTGGGCTCAGGTGCAGTAGGCTGGAGATCCCCACTTATGGTTTAGACCTTGCTCTTCTCAAGGGGATCTAACTGGCTGTTTCAGTATCCTTCTGGTGCTGCTCCCTGTGGGTGCGCTGCCCACCTTCTCGAGTCTCTATCAAACTTCTTACCAGTTAGGTTGTGCTAAAGCTGTTTCTTCTGTCTGTCCAAGGTTATAAGGCTCCTCTCTCGCTATTGTTCAGTTGTTTATTTCAGGTGATTTCTCCACAATTTAGTTGTAATTCCAGATCAGTCCTGGGAGGAAGTTGGTGTGACTTCCATTCACTCTTCTGCCATCTTCATTCATTAACTTGAAATATTTTAAAATTTTTTTATGCTATATTGCCCCTGGGAAATATAAAGTATCATTAAATAATTCTTTTTTTGGCACACATTAATCCTAATTGTAGGTAGGTCATCTTTGCCAAAGAAATGATCACTTTTCACATTTTTTGCCCCAACCCATAAAATGGTCTCTGTCTCTTGGCAGCGATCAGTGAAAATTTGTTCAGTGTAATTGGAGGAATATGATTAGAAACCACAATGCTTGTCTTACATCTCAACTTGTTTAGCTCTCATTTTTGTCTATTCTATTCCACTGTGTTATATCTTTCTAAGATTTAATAAAGTTTAGTAAAACAATAGTCATTTTACAATTGAATTAACATAGGTTTTAATCATAACTGCTACAGTTTGAAAATGAGGTTATTTATCCATCTCTTTGAGGCCTGGTGTTCCTCTCAATTGAATCAGTAAAATATTGTGTGTGTTTCATAATTATATTTCTGACGTTTTATGTAGTATCTTCAGAGTCTATTTTGAGTCAATATATATCAAGAAGTAAATGTCAAAAACAGCATTGTACTAATTGGGTT